GTCCATTCACCAATGCATACGTGCCGGAGCGTTAAATGGTAAAGTGTGCACTTGTATTTGTTGATTAAAGGTACTGGGCACGATCCTATGGTACTTGCTCGAAAAGTAGTAGCAGGGGTGCTATATACTGGGGAAAACGGTGAAAACCCAACAAAGAAAGCTCTATTCTGCATGAGCCAGGAAGCAGTTTCGGACGATTTTCGCGTTGGCATCGTGCCAGTAACCGTTACGGTAGATACGGCTGCACGTATGTACTCATATATCCATGCAGCACCGCAGCCGCTTCATATTGTACTTCGCAAATGAAGCGATACGAGCATCAGCATCGGTCGACATTTGTGGGCGGGCGGGACACGGTGGGTCCGGGTCGGTGTGTTGCAGCTTGGTAGGACGCTATAAAGGGTACCTTCCTTGGAGAAGGCACCACGCAGCGCTTGCTCGGGGGCGCAGGATCCTGTTCTGCTGAGCGTATTAGTCCTACACGTTTTGGGGATTTATCTACTTCCCTTTGATTTATAACGTCGTTGTGGGCGGCCATCGTACTTCCGGTTGCTGCGCAGTTCCCACTTCCTAGCCCGCAGCTTGCCTCTCGCTTTAGATACTTCAACTGTTGTTCAGAACAGTAACCATGAAAAACTTTTATCATTCAACGACGGTACAACATCTGAAAATCGCTGCTCTCCCCACGAATGAGCCCTGCGCTTACGACCCCCTCCCCTACTTCGCGGTCAAATATGACCCCTACCCTGTTGTGATTTGCACAACGATGGCGTGCCCTGAGTGCAAGTCTCCCGGAGGACAGGTCACCATCAACTGCAAGCAGTATTTTTCATTTTGGGAATGATAAACATGACTAGTAAGAAAAGCTGGAGGAATTTGCACAAAACAAGAGGTTACACGCACCGTTCAACCGAAGAACTCATGGAACCATTGACATATCCTTTGTAGTTTCCTCGCTCATATATAATGTGGCTTTGGCATCACTTTAATGATCCCGGCAAGTGGCGAGAACCCCCAAGATGGCTGGAAGATCAGACCTGGAGACTTGCTACGCTCCCGCTCTTCTCCCACTAATGACGGGTATCCTTTTTTTCACCAAACCACAGCGGTCCCAGTCCTATGTATGCATCGGCTGCGGAGGCGCAGCATGTCCATCGAGTTCTGTTGCCATTGCATTCTAGGTCGACCTGCTGGACGCTCACCAACCAAGATGCCGCTCTAAACTTACTAGCAAGCGGCATCAGGTCTACACTACCACACCAGCAATGTGAGGCGCTGCTACAGAGCAGGCATGGGTCTTCATATTGTCTCGAACTTTGGATCTGGTCGAGTCGCGTGTGTCCTAGGCACCATTGCAGCAGTCACTATAACACCCCAGGCTCTTTCACATGGCCGTGCTCTGTCTGGTCCCAGCTCCATAGTTGACGACTGGTCTCACGACCAAGTACAGTTCTTGGGCTCGATCCGCAGCGACACCTTCAAATGTGTCCCATTTGAAAGACAAACCCCACGCATATTGTGAAAGCGGCGTTCAATACAATGTAAAGTCATAATGACCCTAAGAAGAAAAAACAAAAATCAGGAGAATTGCAGCCTCTCTGTACGATTTGCCTGGACAAGCTCGTTTTATGCCAGCAATGCGATATCGGGCCGCCTCTGGCTTACTAATTGTTTCTTCGCGTCAGCCGATGCCAGTGCCATCTATCAGTGAAACAAAAAGCACGAAATATGTAGTGTAAAGATTGATTTCGTCACAGAATATAGCCTTTGAACTCCGGTAGGCAGGAAGACTGAACCCCGGTGGGCGGGACGACTGGACTTCAGAACTCAAATTCTGGTGGGCGGGATGACTGCGGAGGTTTCAGAACTGTCAGTTGAGATGATCGTAGCGCCTTCATTACCTTCTTAAGAGCCGCAAAAATGGAATGATCTAAAAGACTGAGGACTATACTACTTGTACAGGGAAGGACATACGAATGTTGGGAGCGAGGACGTCCTCAAAGGGACGGGGACTATTTTCGAGAGCTTATCCCTCGGATGTCTCTGTTTCCTGATCGTGAACGAAAACTGGGAAAAAACCGGATTTATCCAATACATGGCAATAACTCGGAAATCTCTCAGATGAACAACACACAACAACATAATCACTAGAAGGCTACCAAATGAGCACGACTAGCAATTGCTACAAAATCCCGTAAAATCTTCACAAGTATAATTTAACCATTTGAAAGGGATCAAATATAAATAACAATTAAATATAAAATCTTCTTTTGTGATTTCAATCAGGAAAACAAATTCAACAAAAAGACATGGTACAGAAAGATATCACAAGAGAGCTTATTTGGCATACAGCTGAGGAGCTGAAATACGACATCCCTTTGGAATATTACGACAGGCATTTTCGTCTCCAACAAGGGCACGAATTAGGGCCTGCTCACGAGGATCGCCGTTCTTCATACGCTAAAAAGGGTCAATGTTTCGAAACCAAAGTGAAATGCAACATGTAAAATGATTTAATAAGTACACGTACGAGGAACAAATCCAAAGCAGCTTTGCCGGCTTTGCCTTTCCTAGCGGTTCCTGGCGTGATCTTCACCCTGTACTTGAAGTTACTCAATGCCTGAAAAATCAGAAGTTCATATGAGGACTTGTTCTAGGACACATTGGCCTTTTTGACAATTTGCGGACCACGTTTTGCGGGGGATCCCTGCACCGTTTCATCATTTTTCACACAATTTTCGGTCATTCCTAACTACTTTACTTTCAGGTGGAGTATGGTACAGCGCGTCCAAAAATGTGTCCGGATACCTCCGAAACATGAAAGAAAAGCCGAAGAAGCACTATGAACGCCGTAAAGAGAAACATTTACGACACACCATGTGCGTCACGCGGTTCGTATCGACTTAGGCTATTAGGCTCATCCCAGAGTATCTGATTCGTTGAATCCTTTGTGTAAGAGGCTATACTGAGAACCTTGCTACCGGAGAGAGCGCCACCCGTAGAAGTTGGCTCCTCTCCACTATGACACCGGTCCTAAACTATACAAACCGTTGTGACGCGCCGCGTCACTCCCTATAGAGCCGACCTTTACAGTTAAGACGCCCTCTACTTTTCGCATCCTTATTGACCTGGTACCTCCACTGCGCAGCAGTGTCTCCCTTCTTCCAGCCCTTGTCCAAATATGAGGAATTCATTGGGATGCGGCTCATATCTGTGCCCCAAAGTCCACGAAATTCGACTGCACATCAAGTCTTCAAAAGCCGACTAAACCAACCGAACATCGGTTAGAATAATGACTCAAAAACCATATGATCCAAACGGCACCGGGGGGGGGGGGGTGGTCACGAAATGCACTCATGATCATTGCAAATGATAAGGAGTGTGATGAAACGTGGATTGGAACGCTAGCAAAGCGGCGTTCCTTCAACGACACCATCCTGAGTCGGCAATAATTGGCGGGAAGTGCTGTTCGGGCTGCTATTCCAACTCATGCCCCCTAACACGCCCTACCGTTTGCAGGATCACGACACATGGATTAGAAATCTTCGTCGTATTTTTAGTGCATACGCAAACTCCACGGCTCTTAGGCAGCGTTCAGACTTCGCGACGGCAGCGCTTCGGTCGCGCGTTCGACGCGATCGATGCGCATGCTTTCAACTGCATTGATCGCGTCGAACGCGCGACCGAAACGCTGTCGTCGCGAAGTCTGAACGCTGCCTTATGAACTGACCTTACAAGATTCCTATATACAACATACCTGATACGGTCCAACCATCGGTACAGCGTAAAGAAGTACGTCTTCAGAGGTAGGGTTACTTGTCAGCTGAGCGATAAGCCCTGAACAAAACATATGCTTATAACTTATCTGACTAAACTTTCCCGTGTCTCAGCCCTTACAAACCTTCGCTGTCTTCGCTAACCACAACATCATCTTTTCCTTCTTCGTCATCTTCACCCATAACAGGGGCGTCAGTGCTGGGTTTATCGTCGTGCAAACCACCGGCTGAAGTTGCCTTCGCATCTTTTCGATCATTTATTTGGAGAGCCGCCATCTGTATAGAGATAAAAACCTTATGAAAACCCAGACACTTCGCTCTAATTTTTGAAAAAAAGAAATGATCAAAGGTATTAAAGTAGGTGGGAAAGCTTACCTGGCCCAGTTCGCTGTCCATTTGGCTGTCTCCCTTGGAATGCTCCTGCACACGAGATCCTTCATTATTTTGCCCATTAGGAGCAGCACTCACAACAGTATTATCTTCGTTAGCATCATCACGACTGTCAGCGAGGGCTTCAGGAGTGGCGTGCAGCCCTACCCTTTCCTCACCACCACCGCTATCACTCTTCGCCTTCACATTGTCTTGTTTCGTCCCAGTCGTAGGTTTACTCTCGGGTTTTCCTTGCTTACCTGTAGGCCAAGTATCGTTTTTAACACAAAATCAATTACCGCTCTTGATTACTGGTATGAAATTACCTCTACTTCCAAGAAGAGCCAGGCGCATTTCACGTTCATCTTCGTCTTGATCGCGGTACTTCTTTCGAATCTTATCCATTTTATGTTTCTGACGTTTCCCTACCTTTTTGCCAGCAGCTGCCTTAAACACGACCAGCTACTACACTACTTAACTACATAAAGAAGGTTATCGAATTACCTTGCGCTCCTCTTCCTTCTTCTTTTCTAAATACTCCATAGTTTCTTTTTCTTTACCAGGCGCTTGTTTCTTGGGGCGGTTCTTTGTACTGAAGTCGATGACCATATAATCCTCATAAGGGTCAGCTTTGTTGCGATAATTAACGGTTGGAACGTCGAGCTGTAAGTAATTTTGGTGAACGCTGTGCCTATTAGAAGAGTTTCGAGAACCTACTTGAATATCAGGGTACTCCTCGTCCGGTTCATCGACATCCACCTCTTGCTCTTCCACCGGCAGTTCTTCCTTTTCCTGTTTCGTTTCAACGGTCTTGGTGCTGCTGTCGACATCATGTACCTGCTAACCACAAATAATTGGTAGACACTGCTTCAGAAAACCCGAAAGCATATAGTAGTTATCCCAGCAAAAGATAGGGCATGTGAAGGGGCATGAAACGAAGCATGGCCAAAACAGCTTTTCCCGCCAATCATTGAAGACACAAGATGGTATCATTGGTGCAAAGGGCTGTCTTGGCAATATAGACCCCGTCAGAACCCCCTATCTTTTGGCTGGGATCATGATTGTAGATTTATAAGGATGAAAGGGGGCCCTGGAACGTGCATTTCGACTCTCAATTCCGCCCAAGTTTCCATCGCTCGACCAAATCAAAGTAGCATCATGGTTAACATTATGACTCAAACCCTCCGAACTCAGAAAAGTCCGGTTAAGCATTAGTTCACGAGAACTTTCCGGTGAATATAATGCGATATTATCAAGTTGATGAATAAATACTGGTAGATCTAAAGTGCGAAATCCATCCCATCATTTACCAGCCCCTTTTGAGCATGCGGTACGGATTCTACTTCCATTCAGAATCATACCTCATTGAATGCCAGCGACCTATACTATTAATTGAGGGGGCCAGCAGATGTACGAAGCAGTGTTTCACCTTCCCAAACTAATCTGGTACCAATTAATGGCCTCCGAGGTGGGGGGGGGTAGAAGGCCCGGCTGACCTGAGCGGGAACCGGACCGCGTGGGTGGTATGCATGCCACTAGCTATACACACCTCCGCACGTCCGGCCTCAATCAATCCCTATGTAAAGGCACTAACGCCACAAAAACCCGTAGAAATTACGGAGGATTTTGAAATGATAAATCTTAAAAAAAATCAAGTGAACTCACCGCCATCTTCTGTCTGCGATTAGCAACACTTTCTTCATCAAGACGGAACAAAATACCGAAACCAAGTACCAGTGGGCTAGCAGGCATAAAGTTTTTCTTGCCTCTGATCATAAAGCTACCATGAGACAGGTACTCCCCAGATGGAGCAACTTTTGAAACCTAAATACCTAAAACTGATGAAACGATATAACATGTTATAATAAGGCCGCTCACCTGATGGTCGTACACCCACCACGCTGAAGAGATAACAGTTGAGCTCCATGAACTTGAATAGCAAATAGCCATCTGCGCGGCT